TGTGTGCGTGCGTCTGCGTGTGTGTGTCTGCCTGCGTGCGTCTGTGTGTGTCTGCGTGTGTGTGTCTGCGTTTGTGTGTCTGTCTGCATGCGTCTGCGTTTGTGCGTCTGCGTGTGTGTGTCTGCGTGCGTGCGTCTGCGTGTGTGTGTCTGCGTGCGTCCGTCTGCATGTGTGTGTCTGTGTGCTTGCGTCTGCGTGTGTGTGTCTGCGTCTGTGTGTGTGTGTCTGCGTGCGTGTGTCTGCGTGTGTGTGTCTGTGTGCATGCGTCTGTGTGTGTGCGTCTGTGTTTCTGCACGCGTGCGTCTGCGTGTGTGTGTGTCTGTGTGCGTGCGTCTGTATGTGTGTGTCTGCATGTGTGTCTGCGTGTGTGTGTCTGTGTGCATGTGTGCGTCTGCGTGTGTGTGTCTGTGTGCGTGCGTCTGCGCGTGTGTGTGTCTGTGTGCGTGCGTCTGCATGTGTGTATCTGCGTGTGTGTGTGTCTGCAGAGATGAGGTGTGTGCGCATGGCTAGCTTTGCTGGGGTACAGAGATTGCCCGCCAGGCTGTCTGGTGTGGGGAGATGTGGGGGGTGAATGAATCAGGGACCTCTGGGAACTGAGGCAGTTAGACTGGATATTTATGTCATTTTCTTACTGCTGGCCATGCAGGCTGGGCCAAAGAGCCACTGACATCTTCTGTCTGAAGTTTTTAGTGTGAGGTTTGCTGGGGTTCTGTGTGAGGTCTTCAGTCTGAGGTCCTTAGTGTAAGGTTTATTAGNGGTCTGTGTGAGGTCTTCAGTCTGAGGTCCTTAGTGTAAGGTTTATTAGGGGTCTGTGTGAGGTTTTCTGTCTGAAGTCTTTTTCTGAGGTTTACTGGCGCTGTGTTTGAGGTCTTCTGTCTGAGGTCTTTAGTGTGAAGTTCACTGGGACTTTGTGTGAGGTCTTTTATCGCTGGTCTTTAGCATGAGGTCTTTGGTGTGAGGTTTTTACTGTGGGGCTTAACGTGAGGTCTACTCTTCTTCCATATGAGGTCTTCAACGTAAGGTCTTTAGTGTGAGGTGTCCAAGAGATTTTATTGGCTGTGTATTACAAGTTCATTGGAACGCTTACTTGTTTAGCAACATCCAGTACAAAGAAGAACGAAGAGCATCCATCTATACATCCATCCTACCATCCACCCCTCCATCCATCCATCCATCCATCCATTTCCTAACCACTTATCCTGGTCACTAGGTCTGAGTCACTGCGGACCTTGAACCTATCCCATGCAGTACAGGGCACGGGACTGTAACATATAAAAATAAACAGCATACACATAAAAAATAGACAGTAGATGTGCAAAAAACAGGGATATGGGCAACAGTTTGACATCACAGTCCACATCAGGCTGTATCTTCAGAGTCATCTGTGCCACAGTGACGTGTTCTGATTGGCTTTTGGCTCAGTGCATTAACTCTGGTCTGATGTCTGGTTCAGGGTGCAATCAGCTTCACAGGGAGGCAGGCAAATAAAAGAGATTAAACCAGTAAATTGCGCCACTTTTTGTCCATTTTTATCTGCGTTTTAATTTCAGGATTTATTACTTTTCCGCGGGGGTGGGGTCGAGGAGGACAGTGACACAGGGACAGCTGCGCAGGGGGCACTGGAGGCAGAGGGGTCCAACAGCATGTGGTCGGTCGACGGCTTTCATGGTCAAGGCGGCATATTTGTTACTAAGACAATGACCGGCTGCTGTAAAAAGTCAATAAAACGCACTTGCCTCAGTTAATATTCGAATGTGGAAAATGGGTACAATTGTAAGCAGTGTGAGTCACTGTGGTTTGACTAAATAAATACCCTTTTTTCCCTTTAAACACCAGCAAGTGAATAGCGAATGAGCAGCAGTTTACTGGGTAATGGCCTAAGGTTGGTCACTCAGAATCACAACCCCCCCTGCTGGGTTGCCTGGCAACTTTGAGCGTGAAAAGCGCCGCTGAATGACCCCCCCCCACTGCGGCACTGGCTGCACGGCTGCTAATGGGCTGTGGCTGCAGCCCAGTGACCCGGCGCCACTGACCACAACCGAGAGGTTGAATGGTCACCGGGTGGCGCTGGTGGTCACCTCCCCTCCCCACAAATCTCCGGCAGGACCCCCCACCCAGACTACTGATTCTGCCTGACTGTACTGAAAACAATGAACTAGCAGAGTTGCAGTCCATAAAGCCCCCATCCTGTGATATCGACTTGAGCGTCCCGTGTTTCAGAAGTGAAATCACCTGTTTCGTCTGCGTGGCTGATTATTTAGCCTTTCGCGTTATATGATTAGCCCACAGAGGTCCAGGTGAAGTGCTATTCTAATGACAGTGTCCATCTTCCTTTTATGGACACCCTTTTACTCCCCTACCCCCTCCCCCCCCCCCCCCCCGACACACACTGGTAGGGGATCATTTGCACAGACACCATGTCGCCTCTTCTCTCGCTGTTTGTACACCTGTGTCATGAGGGATCAGGGCATCTGCTCCAGTTCTCCACACCTCCTCGCATGCCGCCTACTCGCCTCCCAGGGTCAGCCTCCTCCCAAACCCGTATTTAGCTGCCCGTAGCTGTCAGGACCACTGCCCTCCCCCCACCACCCCCTATTCCTGATGGATGGGGGCTGGCGGTGGTCCTGCCCGCGCCACGGAGCGCCCTGCTCGATGGTACCGCCACAAAGGGCACGTCTAGCTGCCCGGCGTGTCTGCCAGCTGCTGTCGGCACGCACCGAGCCGCGGGAATCTTTCTCTTGGAGTAATGAAGGGCGTCCGAGTCGTGTCGCGCTGAATGGCGTTTCTCAGTCACGATCCCGGAGCCTCGGGTACCCGGGAGCCCCCACCTCTGCCAAAAAGGGGGGTGGGGAAGCGGCGAATGCTGACGCTCATTTGGCTCTTTGAGGAGAAAGAGTGAAGGAGATATTGCCCCCCCCCTCCCCAGAGAATTTGTCTTAATTAATTTAACTTCTCTTCTCTCTCCCATGACTAGTTTTCCAGTCTGTCATCAGAATGTGTCTGACTTCTGTGTGTGTGGGAGGGAGGGTGTGGGGGGGCAGCATGCTGGCTACTGTGCTGATACAGTGGGGACATCAGTGTGGACAGTGGTGGGGACAGCAGTCAGGTGTTTGGAATCATTGTGACATCATAATGAGAGCTGTGTGATTATTTGGGGACGGCTCATCTTCCCGGCGCCGTGACGCGTCACTGACGTCTGTGGCTCGCTCTGATGATAGTGTGCATTTGTCAGATGCTAAGCGACTGCATCAGGGTGTGGCCCCCTGGGCCCCCCCCCCTGGGGCCACTGCAATCAGCCTGACAGCCTGGGAGTGAGTGTTGACTTGTGGTCTCCCCCTCTCTCTTTCTCCAGATGAACCGGCCCATCCAGGTGAAGCCAGCCGACAGCGAAGGACGAGGAGGTAATTAGCTTTCCGTCTGCGTGCTTCCCGGCCTTTTCGCATCTCCCGGCGCGGCCCGTCGCACAGGTGAACCCGCCTGCTCGCATCTCCGACCTGGCGGGGTTCCTGGATGCGTGGGTTTCAGAAGGTGGGGGCGTGTGTGGGTGTAGCCGCTACCTCGGAGCAACAGCTCGTCCCGACTGAGGGTGGGGGGTGGGGGGCTGCCAATCTGTCCCTGTGGCTCCCTCAGGGTCGCCAAGACCATAAGGTGCCTCTCACCTGATGAGAGCTGTGAAGTTTGGAGCTGGAATTGCGCGTGAGGCTGCTTCCGTGCTCAGCTTCCAGGAGCTATGCTCGTCTGATCGCGCCATTTCGGGTTACGTGTTACTGGGGGATATGGCCATAATGGTCGCAATTCTTCTGCAAAAATTCAGGGGGCCCAGCACTTTATAGGGCCCCCACAATGTATCACTGCCCCCCCCCCCCCCATGCTCGGAAAAAAACTACCCAAGGTGACATTTTGTCAGGGGGCCCAGAATTCCGGCCTCCGATCTTGCAGACAACTGTGCGACTTAAGAGTTTCATCTTCTCTTGTCATTATTACCAGTGAGTGCTATTCCGGCTTGTGCCGGGACGCCGACTCGCCGGCGGTGAGGCCGGCGGGGGCTCCTGTGCCGGCTCCGGGCCTCTCTGTCTCCCGCCGCCCCCCCCTTTCCCGGGGAGCCGTGCTGTGATTTACGCTGCCAGGTTAGATTCAGGCAGCCCATTTCCTCGCCACACAAATCCCATTTAGGTCCTATTTTTGTCACGGCGCCACTTTAATTAATGGCCATCTAAAAACAGGCAGAGTCTGACCGACAGAGGCTGGGCGGGGGCCAACCCGCGTCGCACCCAGATGAATTGGACGGAGGGCCTAAGAGAGAAGGATGGACGGGCTGTGCTATCAATTATTGCCCTTTTTCTACCAGGAGTGAGGCAAAAAAAAGAGAAATACAAGCGAGGGAATGAAATAGTGGCAGGTTGTGGCCCAGAGCGGCGCCGGGCTGCGGGTCGGCCGGTGACGGCTTCCTGGCGGCACGGGGATCTGTCAGCGGCACGGGGATGCGGCGAGCGCACGGCGGAGCAGGACACGGGTACCGATGTCGCGCATTATTAACAGACCTGCCCCCATGGACCTTAGCTGGCTAAAAGTTTACACGAGGGGAAAAAATCCGGCATGTTAGGCGTGGAGGGGTAAAGAGACTGCGGGATGAGACGTGGCAGTTACCCCCCCCCCCCCCCCACCAGGACTAGTGGGTGACTTTCTGAGACGCTGCGATCCGCTCCGCCGCTGCAGCCCAGTCACATTTGTCAGAAATGCGACGTTGGCAATTATCAGTCTCAAGGAGACGCGAGGGTGTCTCGTTTACATGCCTCCGTGGATGATAGGCCCATTACAGGGTCCCTGCTCGCTTCCGAAAACCCCCCTCCCCTCCACCTGCTTATCCTCTGAGGGGGCGCTGCCTCCCCAAGGAAAGGGGGCGGTCCACCAGACGGCTCAGCATGCCAGGAGACAGGTCCACGCCGCTGCCACATACCCTGGGGGAGGACAGGCCGCCGAGGCCAGGCCATTAGCGGCGTCTGCAGTGGGCCATGGCCTGGCCTGCGATTGTGACGGAGCGGATCCCGAGTCCGGCGGCCGCTAAACGTGCCGCCCAGCCACGGGAATGCGGCTGCGGAGCAGCGCTCGCCAGTAACACTTTGGTTGCCCGCCCACCCACCATGTAAGTCTGGATGAGGCATTAACCCAGCGAGATGGAGGCAGCCAGAGCAATTTCTGCTATAAACCAGCAAAGAAGCATCCCCCCTGCCAACCCCGCCCCATCCCCCNGGCAGCCAGAGCAATTTCTGCTATAAACCAGCAAAGAAGCATCCCCCCTGCCAACCCCGCCCCCTCCCCACTGGAAAAACCTCCCCTCCTCATGACCTTGTCAGCCGATGTCTCGGTGGAGAAGAGATTGAGCCAGATAATGTGTGATTGGAGACGGCCGTTATCTAAACACAATCTGTTTGTTTGCGGGTGCCGCACTTCCCCCCCGTGCTTTGCTCCTCCCCCCCGCAGCCTCCCCCCGGCGGGACGGGACTGCGTCTGCCTACTCGGGTTTCAGAAGCGGGCACCAGGTTGCGATCCCGGGGCTCGTCTTTTATTAGCGTGTGATAACAGGAGGCAGCTACTCCCTGCGAGGGGCCCTGTTCCCATGTGTGCCACGCCACTGCAGCCCTCAACCACCCCTGGCCTCAGTGCCGCCCCCTAGTGGTAGAGGAGTGATTGACCACATCTTGCACAAACCAAGAATAGAGGAGCAGTACAGGGTGTTCGGAGGCAAGAGAAGGACAGCTTGCCAGAGGCTTAAATCAACAGTGGATCACACTCCCCTTTCAATGCAAATGAGCCCCACCACCCATAACCTCGTACTGGTGAAAGATGCGGGCCTCTATCTTTAATGTCATGGACAACACGGTAAAGCATATCCCTTCAGGGGACAGGGGAGACCCTTGGTCCCAAGACCCAATGTGATCTATAGCATCCCTGATGTTTGAACTCTGACCTGCAGGGGGCGCCATTTGCCCGGGTGACCCTGCCTTTTTTGTTTTATGTGGCAGCGGGACATTTTCAACGGCATCAATCTGCTTGAGTCGCGCTGCGAAGGGAACGACAAAGGCAATTTGTCGCTTTATAGCCATTCACTTACAGCCTAATTACTACAATAAACTTAAAGCGTGCAGCAGGTCCTGATCGGGGGCATTAATGCAGTTCTTACTCCACAGAAGGCATGACAGGGGACAGTGTGCCCCTCTGCAATTTGGAAAGACAGCTGGAAGGCCAGAGCAGTAACCGCCGAAGACCAAGACCCACACCCATTATGTCTGGGAAATTACTGAGACATCTATCCTGCAGGGGGCGCCATAGTGGTACAGTGGTTAGCACTGTCGCATCACACCTCTGGGACCAGCGTTCGAGTCTCTGCCACGGCTCGATGTGTCTGGAGTCTGGCTGTTCTCCTTGTGTTGTCATGGGGTTTCCTCCAGTCACAGCCCCCTCCCCCCCCAGCCCAAAATCTTGCCGAGGTCAGTTGGAGTTACCATATTGCCTGTAGGTGCGCCTGTGTGAGTGGATGCTGTGTGAGTGTGCACCGCAATGGGTTGGTGGCCCATCCTGGGTTGTTCCCTGCCTCGCACCAGTAGGCTCTGGGATCGGCTCCGGACCCCCAATGACCCTGAGTAGGATAAGCGGTAACAGAAGATGGACGCCGTTCGGATGGGTCCAGACACTGGCTTTGTGAGATTTTCTCGCATATCAAATGACGGCGTATCGGAATTGGCGACAGTGGAGATAAAAAGAGGAAAAATAACAGAGATGAAGAAAGTGCAGATTCTGGCAATTACGGAGAAAACCGACAAACACCTACACGTAAAAATGAGAATGTTAAGTGGACTTCAAACAACACTGTCTGCTAACTCCAAACACAATGACATCTGGAAGGAACGGAATATGAACGCGGCCTACGGAACGAGCCGCCTCGCGTCTGAAGAGAGAAACATCAATTTTGACAGCATATGGCGTCCGTGAAAAATCCATTAATTTTTAATACACTGGGCGCTAAAATCAAAAGGCTCTCTGAGACAAGCAATTGTCAGATGTCAGTAGTATTTTGATAACTTTTTTGATCTGCCTTTATTTGCATTCATAAACCTGGTGGTCCAGCCCCTATCTCAGGCTGGGCATGGTTGCAGACTGACACTGGATCATTTTCCACACAATTACTCCCGCCTTCCATCAAGCGGGGGAGAGCGCCGGGTCACGGGTGCTGGCATGCGAGACACAGGGGCGGGGCTGGGAGGGGGGCGCTGGCACAGGTTGTAAAGCAGGGAGTAGCTCTCACTTTTCCTCCCATCCCTAATGTGACATGGCAGTGTGGGATGGGGGGGAGGGGCAGGCTGAGGGTGGGGGTTCTGAAGAGAATGAGAGATGGAGGAAGAGAGAGACAGGGGGGCAGAGAGGGAGAGAGAGACAGGTGGGAGGAATTTGAGAGAGAGACAAAGACATGGGGAGAGACAGAAAGAGATGGAGACAGAGAGGAAGAGACAAAAGGAGATAGAGAGATCAAGGGGGGCAGGGAGGGAGAGAGAGAGATGGGAGGAGTTCAAGAGAGAGATAGAGACATGGAGAGAGACAGAAAGGGATGGAGACAGGGAGGGAGAGATCAAGGGCGTAGATTTGTGTATAGACGGTCAGGCCACGTCCCTACCAATATTGTGGGAGTACCGTGCGTGTTTAGGCGGGGGCGGAGGGTTAGGGGCTGATTTGGTCCCTCCCAATACTGAAACCAAGCCTACACCCTTGGGAGAGATAGTAGAGAAAGACAAGGAAAGAGAGAAAGAGAGAGAGAGAGACAGACAGACAGACAGACAGACAGGAGGAGGTGGAGAGATAAAGCTCAGCATCACCATTCAGGTTTTACTAATCAATTAAATTAGTAAATAGATTAAAAAAGATAAAGAGACAGAAAGTGAGAGACAGAAGGGGAGAGAAAGAGACAAAGAGAGAGACGGATACGGGAGAGTGGGAGCAAAGCGTCGCTGTTCTCCAGAACGGACCCCAACTTGTGAAGTGGGAAGTGGATGAGAGGAGAATCACTCCATGTTGAGTGGGGTCAGTGTGCCGCCTGGTGGGCTGGCTGCCAGTCAAAAAGCTGCCAGCCAATGGACTTGGACCACAGGCTGACTCCGCCCCCTGCCTCCTACATGCAAATACATAATTCTATTTCAGCTCAGCGTTCATTGATTTTTTTTTTTTGTTCATTTTTTTATTTTTACACAAAAGAATTCTCTCGCTCTTTCTCTCTCGGCACCAGGTTAAATATCTCTTTATTCACTGTGTGCATTAGAAGTCATTTATTCATATTCATAAATGCACTTTAAAGGCCGTGAGTGGCTCAGGGAGAATGGGAAAAGCACAAATCCAATAAGCGCTGCTGGGAGGCCTGGCGTGAAGCAAACTAATGAATTGCGGCCCACATTCTGGCCAATGGGAGCAGAGCCGCGGAACGCTATCGGTGCTCCGGCTGGGATGCCAGCACTGAGGTCAAACAATGAAAACACAACGCTGCCTAATTCAATTTGCAGCGTATTTCACCAAACAGGAAAGCCGGTTCCTCTCAGCTCAGCTCACGGATCCTTCGCCTCGCGTTCAAGAATAGTCTGCTTCCCGACCAGCAAGCCACTGGGTCCTGGGAACGCCCAGCGTGAGGTTTCGAGTCGCCTTTACTTTCACGCTGCTCATCAGTGCTGTCGCTTGTGTCACGAAAACCTGCTGTTAAAACAGGAAGTAACAGTAAACAGTGTGATTAATTAAATTCATTTGTCTCAATTACACTGTCCAGCGTTGGGCAAGGCTTTAGTTGCGTCCTCTTCGTAATTTTAATTCCAGTGGATAAAAGTTCCAGAAATCCTGGAGTTATATACATTAATTTGATTGACTAATAGAAAACGTTTATTTATCACTATCTGCAAGTACGGACGCTACTCTACTTACGAACTTTCAACTTACGAACTTTCAGACATACAAACGAAGAGGACTGTAAGTCCAAATTGTGTTTGTTGGGCTCTTGTTTCCTGTCCGCAACATCATTTTTTTTTTTCTGCACGCCAATTCCGCCTAGTACGGCTTCTGCCCGCTACTCCCAGCGTGCAGCAGCGTAGCGTGCGTACTCCCAGCGTGCAGCAGCGTAGCGTGCGTACTCCCAGCGTGCAGCAGCGTAGCGTGCGTACTCCCAGCATCCTAGTTCTTTGTACTTGCGTATACCTTTAAAATGATGTTGAATAACGACTTACAAACATTTCAAGTTATGAACAGCTGTTCGGAACGTAACTCGTTCGTAAATAGAGGAACGTCTGTATTGGTCCAAAGGTTTATGCATGTGCAAGAGAACTGAGCACGCTCCCATCCCTGAGTGACACACTGAGCACGCTCCCATCCCTGAGTGACACACTGAACACGCTCCCATCCCTGAGTGACACACTGAGCACGCTCCCATCCCTGAGTGACACACTGAGCACGCTCCCATCCCTGAGTGACACACTGAACACGCTCCCATCCCTGAGTGACACACTGAGCACGCTCCCATCCCTGAGTGACACACTGAGCACGCTCCCTTCCTCCCGTGTTTGGGCTCCCTGCCTTTCCTCTTACACTAGCAGTGCTCCCTTTCCCTGTTCTCTCCTCATTTTCACAGTGAGCATCATCCCAGCACAAACCCTGTCAGAAAACCCACATCCAGCGGGCTTTTCCTCAGGCTCCCCCTGGCAGCCTAAACATTTACACAGGATCCCACCGCTTTCTGTTCTCCTGCCAGCGGTGGGAGCTAGGGGACGCCGTGCTCACGGCTCGAGTCAGCGCTGGGCGTGTGCTCGGACCTCCCGGGGCGGTCTCGGCGGGACGCCGGCTGGGGAGCTACGTCGTAGCGGGCCTTGGTTGTGAGGACGGCCGCTTGGCTGATGCGTGGCCTTGCCGTCGGGCCTGTGAAGCAGGCTCACTGTTATTTTTAGCACGCAGTAAGCGACGGGTCCCACCGATGCCTCTAATGGGGTCTGTCAGGCCCAGGTGAGGCTCATGCCCCCCCATTCCCCTCTCCCAGGCAAATAGCTCCCAGGGAAGAGCAGCTGTGTCCTCTCCAATCAGCTCCTCTTCCTCCTCACGCCACTTTGCATCAGTCCATGGCCAAGCCCCCCCGGCGGCAATCTCCACTCCCCGAGAGGGTGGGCACTCACGCTAGACTCTACCCCTAAACTCCTCATACACACACACACACACACACACACACATATACACATATCATACACATCAAAAACAAGCAGCCAGTCCAAGTCCGTGACAGTTTGGGTGCCTCCGATTCCTGTACATCCTTTAAATCTATTGCAATTACCGGCTGAGGAGTGTTCAGTTGGGAATTTCATTTCGTAGCATCCGAGTGTGCGGGAAAACCAGATGGGTGGGGCTTCTGGAGTGCAGCACCACCCATGTCCCGCCCCCTTTCCTTCTCCTTTTGTTTTTTTTTTCCCTCCAGAAGACAGGAAGCTGTTCGTGGGCATGCTGGGGAAGCAGCAGAGCGAGGACGACGTGCGGCGGCTGTTCGAGAGCTTCGGGCAGATCGAGGAGTGCACCATCCTCCGAGGGCCTGATGGGGCCAGTAAGGGTCAGCGCCAACATTGACCCCCACTACCTCCCCCATCCCCCAAATACCCCGCATCTGACTTCACATATAAAATGGTGCAACCTGGCTGTGGTGATGTGCTTCTATGGTTTACAGGCTGCACCACCCTCAAATCGCAATAGTGCATTAGTGCATTAGTGATGATGTAACATCATCTAAAATATAGTCACCCTCTAAATGTTTTTTTTCTAGGCATTTTTTAGCACACCATTGTCTTGTTTTGTTTAGAATTATCTGTCATTTGTAAGTTTCGTTTAACCACCTTTCATTCATATCTGCATGGTATGCATTAGGTGAAGTGCAAAGCATGCTGGTAAACGTAGTCCGACACATCAAGAACAGATTTGGTTTAAATAATTCTCAAAATTGCAATGTGACAGGAGCTTTCGCTTGGTAGGCCGTGGACTCGCATTCCCAGCTTTCTCTTCCGTCTGCTCCGCTTCCTGTCCCTCTCCCATTTCCCTCACTCACATCTGCAGCAAAATATTCCCAGGCAGGAAAAAGAGAATCACACCGGCCATGACTGTTTCCCACGGTCACGCTGTCACACCGGCTTAGGGAGGCTCGCGGGGGCTGACGATCCTCCAATGGCAGCCACGGTGTCACACGCATGTTTATTATTCATGATACCACGGCGGTTCGTGTTCGGCAGCCCCGCAGGAGAGACCGCGTCAGCGCTCCTGTCACTGGTGACACTGGTGCAGACCTGGGGGCGGCTCCGTGCATTTCCTGCTCGCCGTGACGCCTGCACAGAATTGATCGCATTACCTCAGAGGGCAGCAGCCCTCGTCCTGGGTGCTCTCGCATGCGTTCCACTTGTGAGCGCTCACGCTTCCTTTGTGGAGAGGCAAACAAACAGCATGTCCTCGAGACGAGCGGCGAATAGCACTAGAGGTTCATGGGATGGGAACTTCATTAGAAGTTCACGTCCAGTTTCAAATCACTAGCAAGTATAAGTAAAACACATTAATCCAACTATCCATCCATCCATCATCCACCATTCAGTAATCATCCATCCATCCCACCCTCATCCACCCATCTATTCACCCATCCATCCACTAATCATCCATCCATCCCACCCTC